TATATTTATTAATTATGCAGCAAATAATACGAGCGAATTGGCTGCGAAAATGCTTTTTTTCTATTTAATCGCTGTTATATTTTTTTCAGGAACTATGTGTTTAAGATTCTGAAGTGTACCACATTGCAAATACAATTTTACGGAAAAAAAATTAATAATAATGAATGCATGGTCAGTATTGTTTAATTATATACTTATACATATAACATACATGTGTCATTTAGGTATTTGCGAAAGGTAACGTAGTATAACATGCCATTAGTTGGATGCAATTATTCAGGTGGCGCTTAAATCAGTTTCTGTACAGCTTAATTTTCGATCAAACATGGCCTGTTTTACCGATGCGGAATTCGGAGTTCAGCCTCGACGCCTTTTTTATTAATAAAATAATACAGTAGAACATGAACTCTATACACTTATATAAGATAATTGAAAGCAATTATTGAACAAACATTATGTATACAATTTGGTTGAGACGATACCGGATCTCTTGAACTATCATGCTGTATATACATACATCCTGGTTTGATCTGTAAAAATAAATAAGTTTAATAACAATTACCTTTGGGGTTTATACTACTTGAATGTAAAGACTGATACTTACACTTCCTAATGAATCCACTATTAGGAGAGTAAAAATTAATAGGAGAGTGTGAAGAGACCTACCACTACCCCCGTCAAAGACGATCCTCTTCACTCTCCACATCTGTATGTTTGTGCCTAAAAGTATAAGTGTCATACTTACGCTGTCATACATATCATTTCCATTTGATATGAATAAATATTTACACCAAAACAGCATAATCTTTCCAAACAGATTATCAAAATCTGTTAAAAATTTGATCACCACGCTATCTATTCAGAAACGAAGGAAACCAGTCGACAACCATGATAGTTGTAGAAGTACCTACAGTGGTTGGTCTTAGGTGTTGTTTTATCATGGCCGCTGTGGAAAGGTTGCGAGCTCAAACTTTACTGAAAAGATGCCAGTTATAGTAATTTATTAAACAATTAAATTTCTCTGAAATGAGGTAGGCACGATGATGGTTTGAACTAAAAAATTAAATATTTATTTTGCCTCTCTGTTCTCAAATGAACATACTTCATTCTATTCCTTACATATCTATAAGGTTATACACTCTGTTGAAGTCATATTGTATGCAATCAATTTGATTATTAAGAATTAATTTCTGTAGAGTATATGGTAACTTTTGTTTAATGAGAATGCCACGAACATAATATTTGATTGAGACATTGGTACATTGCACTCTGGTTTATACAATTCCCTATTATTTAATGTACTTGATGACATTGCAGACTTTACTTAAGTAGAAGAAATTATGTGTAATCTCCTGACATCAGCTATGGAGACTAAAGTAACCAGTAAAACTAGCAGTCTAAAAGCTCTTTTGCTGAGGGCATGGAGAGAACGTTGGAGTGATTTACAATGGGGTATTAATATTAAAACAGTAAGTAATGATTTTAATATAAAAACATACATCTTGTACTCACCGGTAACTGCTAATCATTTTTTTTTTCAGATTTTACCAAGAGGTGTTAGCGGAGATGTATATAATTTAGCAGATTGTATATTACAACAAGCATTGGTAGGACTAGGCCCAAATCAATTAGTACTATCTTATTTGAAACATTCTCTAAGTTCTCAGGTATGCTCTGCTTGAAAATGAATTTCCATTATATTGTACAATATTCACTGGTATAAATACATTTTTCAGTTGGTCTCCTATGCTGCTGTGCTTCAGCGAATAAGTAAATACGATGCTTTCCATAAGCCCCATTGTATTTTAAGTTTACTGGAATTTTTAGAATCTATTCAAATAGGTATAACTTGCCGCGGTAAACCCGAGGAAGATCTTTTGGCTGCCGCAGTTTTGTCTATTGTACATTGGTTGCTGCAGTGTTATTTGCACGCATTAACAAAAATGCCTCAAAACAGTCCGTTGACTCCGCAACCGACCGAATTGATGGACAAACCTGCGAGTATATTGAAACAGATGCTTAGTTCCGATTTCCTTTGCGCTATGATGTACTTAGCCAAATATGACGATAAGGATCTGTACATAGAAGTTGTAAAAAAGTGCCAGGAAATCGAAGCGTTGTTGAAAACGAGTAGTTTAAAGTCTTCGGTACCGATTGAAGAATCTCTGAAGAAGCTGTGCAATCTGGAGATCGACTGCCTTACTCTGTCCCCTGAAATGACTCAAATGGAATCCATAACCCACTGCCTGCAGCCTTTGTTCGCTGTACAAGTCTTACTAAATCCTAGCACGGAAACGGCTGTGTTTGTTAATCAAATGTTAATGGTCCAAAGACTTAAGAATTACACGAACCCGAGGTTGTACTGCGAGATCATTCGTGCCTGTTTAATGTGCCTGCACAATGTTGTGGGTATGTTCAAAGAATCCCAATGGGGTGCTTTCACGTTTCTAAAGGTGCCTCTAATTTTGAAGGAGCTTCATATGGCACATTCGAACGGTGACGACAAATCGGAATATTCTCAGGATGTCTTAGACGCGTTTGAATTGTTGCTTCAGTTCACACCGCTCCTCGATATAATGGATACAGCTTGTTCCTGCAACAGCGTCGAATGTTTATTGAACGCATTGCAAAAGGTCAGTTTAGTCACGGAGAAGCAGGCGAAACAGTTGAGCAGCCGAAGAGAGGGTGTAACGGCTAGTTTGCAAAAATTAGACTCTTCCACGTCGACACCTTCTATTCCAAAGGTAATCGTTCGAGCGGAGCCTACTTTATCCGGAATTTTGAAGACGTTAAACGCAGATTACATGAAGATCCACGAGGCGTTACTGAGTATGTTATATCAAGTTCTAACCGGAAAGAGTTTCGAGCTGATGTTGGCTGTAGCCACCGTCGAGGGAAAGCTGAAAACTTTTGTTACCAAGCTAATCAAATTCAACGAATGTAGCAAGCAGATCAACGAACCTGTCCCACCAAAGACTGCCGCGACCAGAGCAATGTTATTCGACGTATCGTTCCTCATGCTGTGTTCTATAGTTCAAACGTACGGATCTGATGCCGTGTTAGAAGAAGGAGGAGGAGACTCGTTTTTCGAGCAATGGGTGCGCGAATGCATGCCCGAGCGGAACCAACCAAAGTCACCCCAAAAAATGTTACAAAACATCGATCCCGCAAGGGTGGACGCGTTACTGGCACAAATCAATTCCCCTGATCCCGACTTCAAGTCCAGTAATATAAAATGGCACATCGCGTGCCAATCGGCCATGGGCGCTGTGAAAGAGCTCCTCTGTGCCTGGGAGAGCGACGTCCTAGGAGCTGGTGATGTTAAGAGAGCTTTAGATGGTTTAAGAGCGACTGCTTGCTGTTTACCCGTTTGCGCAGCCGCTTGGCTTTGCGCCTATATGAGCATCACTCATCAGGATGCTCTGTTGAAACCCATGAACATGGTCCAACACTTTTTAACTCCGCTTCCCGGCGACGAGATGCAGGACAATCTTAAAGAGCGGTTAGTACAAGAATAAACAATGTCTAATACATTTTAATTGCAACTATCATTTCTTTTTAGATCTAGTTTGATGTCACAGATCATTCGCAAAATGCAATACGATGTGCATCCCCCGACCCAGTCAAAAACGAAGGTGCTTTCGATGTCTCATAGGTATTGTTCTATTAGACGTTTCATTAGGCCCATTAATTTCATACCTGTTATTTAAGGTTTTTATTTTTCTATCAGCATCATATCGAGGCAACCGATATTAGAGCAATTAGAGACTGTTTGGAGAAATATAAATCAACGGGGATGGATAAACATTCAGGCGACTCAATCTTTAGAATCTTTATTAAATACCGGAGGCTCGTTGTGGTTCGTGTCGAATATAGTGAAGGAGGTGTTGAAGTATCGTTATCAGGAGGAACTGGACCAAGCCGTAGACGTAGCGTTCGCTATTTTCCACCTTGACATCGAGAATTGTACATTAGATCTCATAAATCATATCATTCCACAATATTTATACAACTCGTTACAGTAAGTCTCATGCTTCCTAGATTTTTATTCTCGTTATTTGTACTTCAACTTTGAAACCTTCTTGCAGGAGCGAAGAACTGGTCGAGCCACAATCCTCGATACTAGCCAAATTGTGCGTGTACTGTATATTTTCTACGTTAGAATACAATAATTCGAATCCGTATAGAGGGAACAATAGGAAACGGGTGCGACGAGATTTGGACGCGGACGAGCTGGATGCACTCGGTGTTCCAGCGAATAAGATTTTAAGATTAAACGAGGCAGGAGACTCGAATCCTATATTTGGCTCTCAGAGTCCGCAATCTCAAGGATCGACCAACGGACAGAAATCGGTAGTGTTGAGGGATCCTCTCCTCTCTGCCCTGAACGGATTATTCACGATATTCTCGTTCCTAGCTGGCAGAGACGGTGAGGTATCCCAACAGACTCATTTTATACTTCAATTTTTACGTCTGATGGTGCAATGCGGGAAGGATAGAACTCGTATTTTACTTCAAGGAATGCCACAAACATTGGTGAGTATTTTGAACTCTCGTTACTTTTGTTAAGAAGATAAATTTGTTTATTCGTGTGATTATTTTTCAGGTACCTTGCCTTCTGAAAGCGCTGCCTGAATTGTTCACGACTGATATTCTGTTAAGGTTTTACGATATTCAGACAGCAGCTGGCAGGAAGGCAACCGCGCGAGATTTGTGTATGCTGCGTAATATCGGTCTGAAACCCTCGAAATAATTAGTGACGCGACACGTTTAACACGTGGAGCGCCTTTTTATGGACAAGAAAAAAATCTATTTATAGGAGGAAACAAGCGTAGACGATAGTGAGACATCCGATTGTATAATTATTTTAAAATATACGAATTTAATACGAACTCCGTTTAAACATTTCCTTCTTCGTTTTCATTGACTTTTCGGGAAGGATAATGAATGAAACAACGGAATTCAGAAAAGGTAATTACTCTCGATAGCTTATTTCTCTCTTTTTTTTCTTTCAATTTATAAACACTTTCTGACAAATCGCTATAAATAACGCTTAAATTTAAAAATATGTACAATAAATGATACAATGGAGCATTCTCGGAACGAGAATTTTTACACGATATTAACAGGTCGAGGATAAACGAGCGAAATTTGTCGGCGCAAGAAACGTATAATCGAACGATTCTTTCTTCACTTTCGGGAACGTCTCTTGCAAACGATTCCTTACGTTTACACGTAATTATTTACACGAATTACAATTCATTCTTTTCGATCAAAATTACACAAGAACGAAGCATTTGGATAGAAGAAAAAAAAAGGATGTGTGTGTCGAAAGATCTCAAATTCGAAGAATATCAATGAATGTAGGTGTTCTCCGTATGAAATCTACATTAATACAGATTTTGCACAGATCGTGGAAATCACCCACACCCACTGACTTTCCTTGCATTTAATTGCTATTGGAAGCACAAGTAGGCCTATTAAAAGATACGTCTATAACCACGGGTGCCAAGACGGGTCCATTCTGCACAGATTATCATGACTATTGGCTGCGGCAACGAGAGTACTGACTTTGCTGTCGGTTCCATCGAAGTTGGCCAAAGAATTCAGCCTGCCAACGATCGCGTTCACTGCACGAGTGACCATCGTTATCAGAAGCTCGCCTTTCATGTCTGTCGGAGTTTGGGACGCATTTTCTGCGTCCTCCTGTTTCTTGTTATGATCCGCGATCACTTCGTCTCGCAAGATCGCACGGAGGATCGTATGCACTTTGAAGGACGGTTGCACTAAGCATCGAGCTGTAGCAATGGCACTGGCAGTCAATGGTCCAGAAACACCTGGTAATGATAATTTCTTTTCTAAGTATATTCCATGTTTCCTCGTATATTTCTAATCACTGTGAAGTTAACACGTTAAACGCCACGCCGGTCCCTATATAGGGACCTCAAGGTCCTTAAGGATTGGCCTCCCCGAAAACGAAATTTTTTCCGCGCCTCCCTGCCTTTTATTTTTTCAATAGATGTAACAATACAGACACGCTTTAAATAATAAAGATTTAAATAAAAACCTGAACTTTTTGGTGCCTCCCAGGTTGGAAACCGCTGGCCTAAACGGAACGGCAAGCAAAACAGGCTGGGCGCTTAACGTGTTAATACGAATTATACGAACCTGTACTCGTGAGAAATTCAAGAATATTCGGTGTCAATCGGAACGGCACTGGCCTGTTGGCATCCAGCTCACCGGACGTGTCATCGACATCGAACTTGAAGTAAGCGATGTTGATGAGACCCGAGTCCTGATGCACGTACATCATGTCTGGGTTTAATCTAGTTAAGTGGAGGACGTACTCGGCGAAGCAAGCCAGAGACAATTGCAAGGTGAACTGTTAAATAAATGAAATAATTTATATTGTATAGATAACGTGTAACTATACTTGGATCAATCATTGTATTTAAGTTTACCATTTTCCTAAAGGTCCAGTAGTCTGTCGCACCCGGGAAGGTCTTCACCGCCCAATCCTTCAGCATGGTCTTGGAAACCATCGTCGTTTGTACCTCTTTAAGGATGTCCCTTAGAACTTGATGACTCGCTTGCGCTCCTCTTGCTTGCACCGTTGCTAGTCTATCGTAGTACCTGGCGATAGGCGCGTCGTGTTCAATACCCAACTTCGCGCAACCCTGTTTGTATATGTCCAAGAGAGAAACCGAAGCTGGGTTGTCCTCGACCAGTCGCATCTGCGGGGAGACCGCGACAACTCGAGGCACGGTGAAGTGCAAGAATCGTCTCGAGGTCTCTTTCTGTTTAGCCAGGTAATGATTCAACATTCGTAACAACTGAAGGACACGCTCTTCGCGTCTCGCATCACCGAGTCCGGCATCGTTCACGACCAAATAAGGGTACAAACGACCGTTGTGACCACGAATACGCAACCTCCTGGCTGCAGTGTTGTGTCGCTGAACAACTTCGACCCTTGGCATGAATCTGGCTATCCTGACGTAGTAATGAGAGTGTTTGGGTAACAGAAATTCTCCCGGGAGTTCCACCTCGGCGGTCTTCAGGCTGAAATTGCTCAGGAATCGACACTTTTCCTCGATTAAAAAGGACCTGTTTGAAACATTTGATTCATTAGAAACAGCTTTTAATAAGATTGGAAATATTTTCAGGAGGACATTTCTTACTTTGGCAACTGCTTCGTCTTCCCCTCGAGTATCTTGATCCACTTCTTCAGCTTGCTGATCAAATTGTGTAGCAACCTCGCCCCGGGCACGGTGAAATCGAAATCGCTGGTGAACTGTCCCTTCATCTTCTGGAAGACGGGATCCTGAACGGTAGCTTGAGCCCTGCGCGCCAAGGATTCTGAAGCCGCTGAGCCAAACGTGTTGTTCACATTTTGAGACGAGGATATATTTTCTACGATTTAGAAAACTCGTCTTTATCGATTTCTCTTAATAAATGAACACTCGAACAATCATTTGTTCGAACTCACCGATTCCTATGCCGAACGTCGACACCAGCTTCTTCACAAAGTTTAGCGTGTGAGGAGTTATGGTTGCCTCGCTCACTGCACCACGATTTTCAAAAGCTATCGCGTAACATTTCGCCAGACCTTGCCTCAATTGTCTCAGCACTTCTTCGTACCATGTTTCTCGGAACCACACCATCTACAATGTAGTGGTTTTAGATTGTACATATTTATATCATGGATTATCGAAGAAAAAATGATGATTTATACTAACCTGATCTACGATACCCTCTAAACTAGACAAAATAGTAGGATGAATGTCCCTCTGCATATGCATAATTTTCGAGCACCTCCACATAGGCGGTGTGGCTCGAATTGGTCCCGTTTCAGGTACACCTTGCTGCTGCACGTTCCCTGCAGCCCCTCGACCTTCCACGCCTTCCTGATTCTTTCCAGCAGCCAACTCCGCGCTCTTGTACCTTTCGCGTTGCTCGATCTTCAGCGTCAGATACAGAGTTCTGATAGAGAAATAAACCGCCTGCGGGAACATCCTTCCGACTTGACTCAATAAATTCAATATCACGTTGCCCTCGTGTCTGACCAAACACATCAACAGCTGAGGTATCCAAGGTAACCACTGGATCGGTGGAACACCCACGGCGTATTTGTCGACGGCGTCCATCAAGGAAGACTTGTCGTCGTCGTAGGTGAGCAACCATAATACTTTCGCCAGATACTTTCTGGACTTGGACTCGTTTTGGTGTCTGCACGCGTGAAGGAAGCAGGTGATCGCCGATATACCGATGGATATCTGGCGAGCATCGCGGGTGAAGATGTGTTCCAAATAATCGCCCCAAAGTGCCCAGGCTTTCACCAGGGTGTCGTGTAATTGTACAGCAGCCGAGAAGGCTTTGTTAGCGTCGTCGGACCGACCTATCTGGGACAACAGCATACCCTTAAGCGCGTAGAACTCTGCGGTCATCTCCTTGGTAAAGTATCGAAGGTTCGTCGATTCGATCACTTCGAGGCCTTCCTGCAGTTCGTTCTTGCCGCCGACCGATGCCATTTGCAGGTAACACTTGACCTGTTGCCTGATCTTCTGGAAGCAGTCGACGATGGGAACGCTGGGTATCGTGTAGATCCTAGATAAGGAGTCTAAGCAAACGCCGCAGAGATTATGCTTCCTGGCTATCTTGCCGAAATGGATGATCGCTTGGACGGACGCGTGTACGCCAAGCATCGAATGATTGGTGGTTTGATCTTGCTGAGAATCGTAGTGGCTCGAGATGAAGGTATAATGATGCTGTCGCCAGGTGAAGATGTCCGACCAGTGACTCAAATCGTCGGCAATCACGGGCAATCGATTTCGCCACGTCTTCACAATGGCCTTCATATCGTGCAACGACGTGCTTCTTCCATGCAACAGACCTTGATGGATCTGCATCGCCTCTTGCAGTTCCATGATCTGCTGGGCGGCCTGAAGTAATGGCAAGTGCACGTGGCTCACGATCTGAGGCAACCTGCGCCATTCACGCATGCAGAGACCGGATGCCAACTCCACGTATCGTTCGACAGCGCTCAAGTGTTGGTCCTCGCTGTTGCATATCGCCAGGAAACCACGGTACAAGTTCACCTGACATCATTTTATATATTTAAAAAAACATTGTACGAAATCGTCTGAAATGAGATAAATATACTTTACCTTCCAAGCCATTTCCTTTGGACAGTTGTGCTCCACTTGGGCCAGGGCTTCCTTCATCATCGTCCAGTTAGGAATGCGCCAAGAGCTCTCGAGAATCAAAAATGGATTCTTCTCTGTCTTTTTGCTACCATAGTCCAATAACAAGTCCCATTGATTCAGTTCCTTGGCGCACCTTATCCAGTGTTGTTCCCACAGCATAGCCTCGCGTTGTATCTTGAAAGGAGCCGGTGTAGAGACGTAGTCTTGTTTGAACTTTGTCATCGCCACGTCGTAAGCTCCTTGTGCTTGTTCAAAGAATCCTTGTTGTTCAAGCGCAGTAGCTTGCAGAGTTTCTTTGTAATGGGCGTGTTTCTGCCAAAGGCCAGACCACATGTCCTCCTCGCATAGCAACGAGTACATATCCGACAAAGAGTCTAAAATCTCAGCATGAGGGCTGTTGTCAGGCTCGAAATCGTAGCAGTCGGACTCTCTCTTGATCTTGAATTGATTGTTTCCATTGTCGAATGCCATTTGCTCGAGACTCAGTGTCATTCTGTGCCAAAGATTGTGCGATCTGCCTAGGTACTTCATTAAAGCTGGCCTCATTGGTACTGGAGGATTGCAATGAGATATCGCCTCGACGAAGGTAGCGATCGCACTTGGGTGGCAATCTTTCTGAATGACATGAGTACCACTGCAAATAAACGGCACCACTTCTGTGATTAACGTGTTGTGCTGATGTTCGTCCAGGATGCTCCAGATTCGAGGAAAGGTGTCCAGCCAAACGCGTTCAGCTAAATTCGTGTCCATGTGGCAAAGTTGCGCCGTGGCTAGTAATAATTGTTCCGTTCTAATTTTCTTGGCATAGTCGATGAATTCTCCTTGCTTCGCGATCAACTGCGTTAAGGTCGCCTTCCCGGTGGTGATGATCTCTTCGGGAACAGTGGCCGAATCGACGTTAGACAGGTCCATATCTAAAATTTCGTCCTTAACGTCGGTTCCTTCGGAAATGTCCTGAGGTTCTTCCTTTACGGAACTGTATATCATGAAGTTCTTATGCTCTTCGCTATCTGCCATGTTTATCACAGACGTTACGCTCGGTAACAAGGTATCCTGGTTAGACATTTGTATCTGAGTGGTCGAATTCGCAGTGACGAGCAGCAGCTCGATACACTGCTTGATCCAATAGTGAGGACCGATCGCATCCCAGCTCTGGCTGCAAATAATGTACAAAAGTCTGTCGTGAAGACGTCTCCTCATCGATCCATCGAATACCTCAAAGAATTTCGTTCGTATCTGAGGCTGAACGCATCTCAAACCCGAGAGAAAGGCCGGTTCCAATTTCGACGTCAATTCGGACGACTTCAAGGTCTCATCCCTGTAGATGTAATTGACCAATTCCAAAAATTGTCTGTTCAGTTCCAAGTCATCAGGGAAACGTTTCTCTACATACTGCATCATCTTGACCAGTAGGATCGATTTTTCTCTCAGACTAGGCGCCTGATTTATTGCAATAGGATTCTTATTCTTCATCCATTCCTCGAGCATTTTAGTAATCGCTTTCATCACTTTTATATCTTGAGTCTTCTCAATTAAGCCAACGAGAATCGAGCCAATGAATGATTTTCGCATCTCCACTCCCATCACTACCACTCGATTCTTCACAAGATCCAAACTCAGGATCAACAATTCACTGCCAACCGGATTCGCCTCTGTTTGAGTAGAATGCAAATGATCTTTAGCCATCCTGTGAAGGACTCTCATAAACGGTGTGATCAGTCGATCGATGTAGCTTTGATTGTTCGTACATGCAGCCTTCAGCATCATCAACGTTCCAAACAACGAACTTGGTGTGGCAGTGGTGTTCTTTTCGTACGTCGCCAATCCATCGACTATAAATTTGCCAACGGTGGTGTACAAGGTGTCCAGTTCTTCGTACTTGGACGCAACCGTGGACGAGGTAGGTTCGGCTGGAAAAATAGTCATCAAACGGGACAACAGTCCGTGAACTAAGCGAATAACTTTGGTATTGCTGCTTGCTATGCAAGCACCGATACCGCGTTGCAGTGGTTTGAAGCTAGCCAATATTTGCTCCCTCTTCATCACACCTAGAAGAAACGTCAACACCTCCAGAGCCGTGGAGATGTTGCCGTAGTTCGGTTGAGCACTATCGACGCTAGCTAACACTTTATCTAACCAAGCTAACTTGAGATCGCAGGATTGCGGCCAGACGTCAGGCTTCAGAGCCATCTTCAACAGAGCCACGCATCTTCTTGATAATTGTTCGCCAGGATTACCGTGAATCGTCGTCACGTCGTTCACCTGGCAAGCCAGTCGAAGTAGGAAATTCAGAATCGCGTCTGCGTGAGCGCGTTCGATCGGTTTCGTAGATCCTGGCTCTATCCTGGGCATGATCACAGGAACGGTCGAGCTACCCGTGGCTCCTTGAGTGGTCATCCGTTTCTGTCCCGTTGGATCATCGTTCATCGGTCGCTTCATCGATCCCGTAGAAGTTTTATTCCCTCCGGATTCCGCGCTTTCGACCTCGTCCTTGATTCGGTGCAACTCCCACTTGATGATCACTTCCGCTAATTCCACGGCCAGCCGTCTGTGTTCTATCGTCGCGGTCGGACTGAATCCTAGCCTCTGAATGGAGTTCACTATGTGTTGGACCAAGTGATGCCTGACAGGATAGTAGACTTTGTAGTGTCTGACGACTAACTGGAGGATGTGGAACAATTGTTGCATGGAATGTCCTTCCTCCACGATGATCTTCTTGGTCCAGTGGGTCAGCATCGTGTTGCCATCCTCCATTCTCACCGGCATGGCTGGAGTTAGGATCTCCAAAGCTTGCCTCACTACGTTTCTCGCATCCAACGCGTGCGCCTTCAATAAGCTATGGAAAACTTGCAGAACTATTCTCTTGTGAATGGCAAACTTGGCGATTATGTGACTAAGAAGCAGGTGACCGTGGTACCTGGTTGTAGGATCGACGCAGTTTTTTCCCAGGAGACAAGGCCAGGCAAAGGTCATCAGTCTGCGTAATTTGTTACCCTGTCTTTTGTTACTGACGTCGTGGATGTGCTGAGAGGCTTGCTCGACCAGCAGACAGGAGAACTGGAGCAAAGATATGCGAACGCAATCGGCTGAGCCAAAAGGATTATCAGGATCGATGATTTTACTGATGAACACGGACACTACGTTCTCAGGGTTGTCTTGGTAAGGCATCGGTGCGCCGCCGACCAGTTTCGTGCCTTCTCCTCTTTCGAAGCTGACAGCGAAGCAAGGAATAACAATTAATTGCAACACGTTCGCCTTCAGCTCTTGCGATAAATTATTGGTGGGAAAGTGATCGACGAATCTAAAGAAGGCGCTTCGTTTCCATTCGACTGTGTATTCTTGTGCTACCGTATGCTCCAGGAAGTCTCGCATGAATTGAAAATCCGGGATAAATCTGTCACAGGTTGCTCTTAATAATTGAAATAATAAATCTATGTCGTTTGGATGGTGTCTGAAGTAATGCAGCAGAATCTTCACGATCAGCTTGGGTTCCTTCCAATGACAATAATCCACACTTTCCACCTTCTTGTGCAACGCTTGATATTCATCATTGCACCAAATCTGTTTTAATGCACCTACTAACTGTGTCTGGGTCGACAGCCATTGTTCATCGAACTTGATCAGAATGGAGATGATCTTGATCGCTTGATGCTGAAGCTCGCTCTTCTCGTTGTGAGTCAGATTCGAATTGGTTTGAGAATGCGCGAGCAACATCGTGATCAATCTCGCCGTGCTGTTGTGCAACACGTCTCGAATAGGTTTCCCTTCCTTTTGTTTGATAAGAAACTCCAAGTACCTGCTCCATTGCTGATCTTTGATGTTATTGTCGTGTAAGAAGAGATTCAGAGTCTCCGTAGGGTATCGGAGCAAGAATTTCATCAGAGGAATCCGAAAAGGGCTGGACACTTCGACCATCAGAGATTTTTCTGTCTGCAAAACGAGCCTGCAGAGAACGTCGATGAATTTCGGAGTAGCCGCAGGAATTTCGTGAAAGATCCCTATGATGGTTGCTATCTTCTGCTCGTTCTCCCCAGACTTGGATATACCTTTGTGCGCTTGTATTAAATTCTCCAACAGTTTCTTCAAATGCTGCAACAACTGTTCGCAGAGAGTAATACTAAACGTGCTAGGGAACAGCTGAGTCAAGTACGACAGTCGTTTCACACAGTTCAGGCTCAAGTTCCTATGATCGCCCAAAGTTAGGAGCATCGGTCGCATGATCGCGTGGACGGACTCCATATCGATTTGATAACCAGCGATGAATTTTTGCATGCACTCGAAGGCCGCCTCTTGCAGTTCCGCGTTTGGTTTCTCCAATGCTTTGTAGAGAACGCCGAAGATCTTCTCTCGACAGGCGACGATGTAATGGCAAGCAGCCAGCGCTCTTAACGCTGATTTCCTCAGCGGTATGAGATTCGAGACGGATTTGTAGCAAGGCAATTTATTCAGATTGGCATCCTCTGCCTCGCTGAGAGTCAGCAGCTCCTGGAAGAACACTTTGTGCTCTATGACAGTCAAATCGATGGTGAAAAGCCGCGGATTAAGCGTGGTGCAAAACGTGTTTCCATCCATCAGACCTATCTGAGCGTTCGCCGGTTGGTGCCTAAGCAAATGTTTCTTCGGTGGGATCATATCGGCTAGAACTTCTTTGTGCGGTTCCATCACTTCCGTCACGGTTTTATTTTGTATTTCAGCCAGCAATCGCAGCGAGGCCATAGCCTGTTCCCGCACCAAGGTGTGAGGAGACGTTACCTGTCTCACCAATTCGTGTGTCACTTCGTATAAACTTTTGTTTTGCGCTTCTATCAATTCCGTATTTCCATCTTGAATCCCAGGGTTCACGCAAACTCTCAGCATCTTCTCCAAGTTGGCCTTGGCCATGTCTATAGCGCCGTTCGACACCTCCTCTGTTAGATCCATCATCACGAACATCAATGCCTTCAGGAAAACGAACAGGTGATTCAACACCCACTTGGTCGCCATTCGTTCGAAAAGAAACTTGATCGCTATGCAGCCGCCAAGTTTCGCGTACCAAGCACGTTCGTAGCAAAGGGAACACATCTTTTCAGCCAAGTACTCCATCAGAGGTAGTTGACAGGCTCGTTGCTTCGAACCGAGAATGTTAGTCGCCGTCTCGAGGATCAAGACCAGAGCCAGATGACCAGATTTGTACAGTTCTTTCTCCTCGTGGCCCATGATCACCGCCAGAGCGTCGATCAACACCAGAGGATCTTGACCCTGCATACGAATCTGTCTCCCGGTAAGACAAAACGGACCAGCTTGCTGAGCGATCGCCACCATAGTGTAGTGTCTGACGATCGACACGACTGTGCCCAACACTGAATGCCTCAGCTCTTTGATCTCAGCGGCTACAAATAATCCGGTCAACGCTGTTTGCTGAACGTTCCTCGCCACAGCGTCCGGACACTTGTAATGAGGGCCTTGCTGGTGCGAGATTTTGCCTTCTTTGAAAGTCGGATGCATAAATAATTTATGAAGAATCGCATTGTTGTCGTCCAATCGTAGCGAAGCGGCTAGGTAACAACTGATCACCTCCCAACACTGTCTACGATAAAACGAGTCGGTGCTGTTCGATTTCAAAGCGTTGAACGCGGTCTCGATGACCCTCTCTACCGGGAAATCGATCGGTTTCGTGGGTTCTTGAAAATATACAACGACAGCCGGCGAGTTGGTCTCTCGATCGTTGTACTCCAATTTCTGCGGTTCGATCATCATCTTCCGATTTCCTCCGCCGAATTTACCCAACACTCGAAAGGCTACGTGAGCCTGATCCGTCGGATTGTGAAGAGTTCTCCAAAGAGCTTGCATCAGATCGGCTCGCACCGGTTGTATGTGCTCGTAGAGGAAATCGGGCTGAAGATTGTCCACGCACAACTCCAGAGTGCGCAATCCTTGGCTGACTAAACAGTAACTTCCGTTCAACGCGGAAACCAGAGGATCCATCAGCATCGGAAGGTACGGTAGAAGAGAGCTCAGCCTCACCGGAACTGTCAGGCACAATTCGACGAAAAGATCCTTCATGTGTTGCCTATGCAAACCAGATTGTAACCTGTTCAAACCTTCCAACATGTTCGGCAGCAGAGGTAGAAACTCCTGATACAAAAGATCATGAGAACCACCTCCGATTGATCTGAACAGTGCTCTTAATAAGAGGAAATAATTATAAGGTTCTTTAGCGGACATGGCTAACTCTATGGCTCGATTGACGATCTGATTCAAGTGCGGCCTTAACATATGCTCGTTGTCAGCTGGGAAAAGAGACACGCTACCGAATACGAGTTTAAACAGCCTTAGGTACAAATTGCTCCTCTCCACGTTGGAACCCATATCTCCCATTCTTTCTAATAAATATTCCACCAAGATCGTGGCGAACGTAGACGATATCGTAGGACTGGACAGGAAGGCACTTCCAATGATTTGCAACGCGCAGTTCTTGAAGATCCTCTCGACCATATAGTCGATCGAGGTCGAAAATATCTCCTGGAATGTTTGTGGATTCATCTGGGTGAACACGTTACCGAATAACTCGAGAACCTCCTTCTCCTCTCGCGTTCTGATCGTCTGAGATTGCGCCGGTCTACCCGGTTGAGGGATCGCACCGAGAGTCGGAGGACCTATCGTGTAGATATCCAAAGCTGGCAATGCCCATTTAACTAATTTGATATAAACCAACGTCTCCTTCGGTTGAAACTGATTAGACTGCGTCACCTCGCCGGTCTTGCTGTTTATACAATTCGCAGTGATAGCTTTCGCACCGTGAACCAGACTCTTAACTAAATTCCTGTAGTCGGCCACGTTGTAGCTCATCGCTTGAGAGGAAGGGAAGCCGAATTTCGATTTCCCTGTTTCCTTATCCTCGTTTAAATCTGGAATAACCGGCTTCACATCCTCTGTTTTCACGTCTGTCCCAGGAGGCGCCATCTGCTTAGCTTTGTTCCGGAGAATCGGTATGTAGATCTTCGCGATCGTTTTGAATTTTAATACAAACACCAAGAGGATACGCATCAACAGCTCCCTGCCTTGGCTGCTGTTCTCTGCGTCAGACCTCTGCCTGACTGTATCCACCAGGTTCATCAAAAGCTTGCAGGAGACCATCTGCACGGCTGTTGGAAGGCTCTGATCGAGTAAATTCTTGCTGTAGAGATGCACAGCTCTGGAGACGTCGCTCAATGGCAACAATAATCTGACATGATGAACCAAATCAGCGAGAGTTGAGTAAGCTAGAGGTCTGAGACTCTCGTGAGTGGTCCAACCACGACCTATGAAGATGTCCTCGTCGAAGAAGCACTCCATGTGCGGTATGAATTTGTTTCGAAGATCGGTCGCCAGGATATGTCTCGAAGCGATCACCAATTCTTTCCGTAAGTGTGCCACTTCCATCGGGCACAGAGTAAACAGTCCGAGTATACCTTTCACTAACAATGAACTGTGCTGAGAAACGACGTCTTGATACACCCTGATCACGTACGCTAAAAAGGACAACGTTTTGATCTGAGCACCCATGAAATCGACGAAAACCTCTTTGTTAAAACCAGGGGATGCGCGGTGCTGAGGACTTGGTTGAAGAGTTATCGTTGTTATCACCAGAGGAATGAAATCGGACACATCTTGGTGCACGTTTTGCTTGTACAGTTGGTTCATAAGTACTACGATGATTGGTAACTCTTGAAGCACCTTCAGTGACAGTACTGCCTTTGGAATAAGATTGTACTGAAAAATATAGTGGCTATAGTTATTTCTGTAATTTTCTTTCAGCTATGATTTTCTTTGAACGGTACTTACTGTAACAACAGTGCCGTCTGCAGCTTTCTTTTCGCTTTGAATAGCCGTAATCGTGAATGTCTCTTTTAAAAGTGCATCTATGTTTATTTCTGATAGATCTTTCACTCTCAACGGAGGTCTAGGTTCGAATATTTTTGGCAAGTTCTTTGGTAACTCACTGTACACCGATTTAACGAATTGCAAAAAATACTGTATCTATAAACAAGGTAAAAATTCAATTAATATTCTGTTGAAAATATATAAGAAGGGTTGAAATAAGATTACTTACTTCTGGATTAAAAGTTGGTTTGTACTGTTTATGCAACTCGATGATGATCCTCAGACAGACCAACACGTTCTCCTCGTTGTCGGTTTCCAATAACTTCGACATCAAACTTAAAATCTGTTTCACGTAAGGGCGTAGGTAATCGTTACTGGGCAGCCTATGTATCATTTCTAAAATCAGCTTTCTAACTTGTTGAATGTTGTACTCGGAGATGAAGTGCGGTTCACCCTCTTGAAGTATCTTTAAAAAAATTTTCATCATGTGGTCAAGAAATGCCGGATATTGCGAGGAGCACATGATGACCTATAGGCAAGAAAGATCATTGATCAGTTTAGTCGTTGTAAAAAGAATAAATTGTTTAAACGTGTCAGCGATTGGACGGATACCTCAAAATTCTCCGACAATTCTTGAGCTGCCTTCAGTTTCAACTCATCTTTTGAAACTGGATCGGCCAACATGGTCACGTACGATCTGTACGTGTTCATCTGCGTAACTGGATCCGGTGGTGCCATTTTGATTGTTCAATCAAAATTTCGATTTATGCTACGTCTGGTCCATTAGAAAACCTAAACAAAATTCCAATGAAATCATCGTTGATTGTTAATTATTAAATTCACTGTTTAGAGAAGAATTAATTTCACTCATTTTCTTAGAATTGCATAAGAGAATCTGTATAGCTCTCTCGAAATCGATGAGATACCATTTGACCCGAGTAAACAACCCCTAGCAACCACTTAAAATACTTAGATGTTCTTTATGATCCACTTTAGCTAATGTTTGAAAATTATCACACGTTTCATTAATTAACAATCATCATTCCCCATTGTTCTTATGAAACTGATGATTACAATTTTTGAATAAAAAATAAGGGTAAAATCAGCTGATTGAATCGTGTAGTTAGAGGGGGTACACATAAAGATGTTGGTCACATATGAATATATATCCACACCCTATAAATGCTCAGGATATTCTGAACACGATCTCAGTACCTTTGCAATGCTACTGCTAACCTGATGCAATTTTTATGAAAAATCCTTTTTTGAAAATTCGGCAATCAGATAAAGATGGATGAAGCTACTATCGATTCGATCTTTGCAGGATCTTTAAAGTCCTTGCCTGCTGTCAGCTCTAAAATCGTTCGAATATTCACAAGTTCCACTTTCACCGGTAAGTAGAACTCGAACTCTGAATTCTTTTTTCCAAAATAACCGATGTTTCGTTTCAGATACGGCGATGGAGCGAAACACATTGATGGCCCAATGTTACCCGAAGATTAAGGATTATTGCAGGGAAAAGCATGGATTAGAGTTTCAGGTAAAATTAACAATTATTACGAAAGATATTGCACATATATCAGGGTAGATATATAAGCAGGATTAATCGACCTTGAAGAGAAAATTGATTTCTTGGTACCAGGTACCAAGTCGTGGCACGAACGAAACGTTTTCCAAACTTTAATTGTTCAACGTAACGAATCACACCTGATGACTTATGAATAAAAATTAGTGTTTTAAAAATTACGATTACAGGTAGTTGATATGAGATGGGGTGTCAGGGACGAAGCCACAGACGATCATATGACTACAGAATTGTGCATGAGAGAAATAGAAAATTGTCAGAGACTCTCAATGGGACCGAATTTCGTGGTAAATAATTTAACATTTAAACGCGTTAATTTTTATACATTAAACACAATTTTGGTAGGTATTCCTTGGACAAAAATACGGCTATCGTCCTATACCAACGTACGTTCGAAGCTCCGAATTGGAAATGTTGCGAACAGAGCTGGAAAGTCAAGGAATGGATGTTAGTCTATTAGATAAATGGTACAAAAAGGATAGCAATGCCGTGCCAGCGACGAGTATCCTGCAACCAATATCGTCGATCTTGAAAAATTTCAATAACAAAGTAATTAAAACTGTCAAATAAAATATTTTAACACTCGATCATTAAAAAATGTTTATGAAATTTAGAGAATACCGAAGCTGCAGCAGGAAGACCAGGCCATCTGGTGGGACACCATGGTGAAGATGCAGAAACTGTTCAGGAAGGGTGCACAATCTTTGTACAATGCTGGAAAATTCGACAAGGACACGATGCATAATTATTTCATGTCAGGTGAGCAAATTAAACAAGAACAAAACATATTATATTACTAGTGAATTAATTAAACAGTCACTGAGAGGGAAGTAATCAATGGTGTCCTAAACGTGAAGAATACCAAAAATCACTGTCTAGCGTACATACGATACATAAACAATATAAATCTACAAAATCTAAGAAAAGCCAGCTTGTTTTTGGACATCGCCAATCGAAGTTTGGATAACGAAGCTTCCAAACTATTAGCGAACTTGAGGGACGAAAGGCTTCCGGAAAAGATCGAAAGTACCAATTTGCAAAGGTAATTTCTCTCGTGAGAAGAGCTAATTACACGACTAATTTAATTACGAAATTTTTCTCAGATACACGGTGGAATGGATCGGTCGGGAAGGTTTAGATCCAGAAACGCACAGCGAGTACCTTCAACACTTTATTACACACTTTTATAGAAACATACTGAAGCTGGTGGATCGTGCAATGAGAAAGGAGGACAGTTCTGCCCAAGGGCAGATTATAACAGAAATGTTGCAACACTTACATGCTTGCAATAATTCAGTAAAGGTAAATGAAATTGTTCAATTGTGACAAAGAGAATGTTGAATGATAATCTTCCAGGTGTTCTATGGGCGAGAAGATACTTTGGAGAACATCAAAGAATACATGATGGGAGACAGTGATAAACCTTTGGTCTTGTACGGAGAAGGAGGTTGTGGAAAGACTTCGTTATTAGCAAAAAGTGCAGGATTGACCAGCAGCGTGTGGCTAACCGGTAAAAAGCCGATCAACATAATTCGATTTCTTGGGACAACACCTGATAGCAGCGCCCTGACACCCACTTTGATCTCCATTTGTCAACAGGTGTCTTATAATGTTTCGAATTGAAAAGTAATTTACCAATGAGAACAACTTTTTTCAGAAAATACATTCAAATCACTTTTTCATCCAACCACGAAAATGTCCTCATTGCTAAATCACTTTCTTCGATATCTTTGTAATAGAGATATTATCTGTCCTAGATCTCCTACAACTTCATGTTACCCTTCGAAGAGATTCCCGACGATTTAGTGCCACTGACAGCCTACTTTAAATATTTGCTCACTCTAGCCACCGCCGAACAACCGATCCTATTATTCTTGGACAGCGTCGATCAGTTAACCGGAGTGCAGGGAAACAAATTGTCGTGGTTACCTACCAGACTACCGACAAATTGCAAGGTACGAAGTTAAAGGTACATCTATCAGTTGAATGAAATTTTCAAACTTCTTTCAGATGATCCTATCCTGCGCAGCGGAGGAATCGAATCCGGTGATATCTAGAGACTATCAATTATTGAGAAGAATGATCGACAACGAGGAGAACTTCATCGAGGTCGTTGCTTTGGGCGAAGATCTAGCTATGGAAGTGATACGGTAAATCAATTAATTCGAAGAAATAATTAAAAAATTATTTAGGAAATAATTTCCACAGGATGTGGATGAAAACAGCTCGCAGAGACTTGAACAATTATCAATGGCGTTTGGTAGCGAACGCTATATCGAAGTGTTCCTTGCCGATTTTCGTGAAGCTCGTATTCGCGGAGATCTGCAGGTGGAGAAGTTACACGAAACCGGCGGATACTCATTTGGCTTGCACCGTGATGGACAGTATTATGATGCTGTTCGAAAGGATTGAAAAGCAACATGGGAAGATCTTGGTGTTCCATGCGTTAGCTTATATAACAGCTGCTAAGTCAGGTTTATCCGAGTCCGAGCTGGAGGATCTGATTTCGTTGGATGACAAGGTGCTGGACGATGTGTATCAGTATCATTTACCCCCCGTCAGAAGAATTCCTCCGTTGCTTTGGACCAGAATAAGGAACGATTTGCCGAATTATCTGAGCGAGAGGGAAGCTGACGGTGTCAGTGTTCTTAATTGGTACCACAGGCAATTCAGAGATACAGCCAAAGAGAGGTACTTTAAAAACATGAACATGGCGATGTACTTTCATTCGATGATCGCTGATTATTATCTTGGCATCTGGGGAGGTGGACGTCCTAAACCTTTCAAATACACTGAGATTCAGAGACACCGGTAATCGAAGAACGATGCTGTTTATTTTTCTAAAGAACTCTGAAGATTAGAGTTCAATGTTGAAAATTGAAATTCTAGGTTTAACCTGGCGGATAAAGAAGGCGTGGCGGATAGAAAAGTGCCCGAGCAACCCCTGGCGTTTTACTCGAAAGAGGGCACTATTACTAGATACAATTTAAGAAAGGTACATAAACTTTGAAAATTACTTTCGATTTGATAACTGATTTGTAATTCCTAGTTTGGCGAGTTACCTTTCCATCTGGTCAGATCGCGTCGTTTCGACGATCTCTTTGAAAACGTTCTGTTCAATTATGAATGGCTCCACGCCAAGCTGAGTTCCTGTCCGCTTCAGGCGGTGCTATCAGATTTTGAGGACGGCTGCAGTTTCATTGATAATCAGAGCATCGTCAGGTGATATTCTTCGCTTAACAGCACCTTAGAGATCCTTAACGTGTATGTGATTCATCGTAGGGAACTGATGCTGGTCGCTGACGCGCTCAGATTAGGAGGTGCAATTTTGGGCTCGCATCCCGACATGCTCGCCCCTCAATTGATCGGTCGATTGCTACCGGAAATCGGTGGAAACGTGAACGTGAAAATGCTGCTACGAGCGTGCGATAACGACGGGTCTAAGGATTGCGCTCTGCTTCCTGTTTATCACTGTTTACACACCCCCGGAGGACCGCTCAAAGTAACTCGATAAATTTTCTCGATCGAAATATTCCCCTAATCCGTGGAACGACTTTTAGTACTCGCTGGAGGGTCATCAATTCGCCGTATTTGGGTTCTGTCTGACGTCGGATTATCGTTACGTGGTCTCGATATCCAATAGATTCATCACATGGGATCTGAGCACCAGCGACATGACTAGGGATGTTAATCCAGGCGTGGAGGGAATTATGCAAAACCTCGTCCTGAGCCCTGATAACAGATACGCCGCTGCGTTTACCACCAATAACCAGGTGCTTAGAGATAGATCGGTACAGATTAACCCTACGATCACCCGCTACTTCAAAATTATTTTTAATCCTTAATGTAAATCGTATCCGAAAGGTGTTTCCAGCTCTCTTTTTTCAAAAGTCAAAAGACGCATTGAAATCTTCAACGCGAATAATTTCCTTTTGGTCACGATTTACACTGGGAAGCATTCGGTACGACAAAAATGAAAGCCTCAAGGTTCTCCCATTATTTCTCCGTAAAGAAATTGTAAGATAAAGGGTGAAAGCATCGCTCATTCACTGTGGGTATTTCAATTTTCATAACAGAGCGTCGTGTTGAATACCCTGACCAGCGAGTTCGTCGTCATTGATAATCCACTACCAAATGAAGATCCTGTATGCGGGGTTCACCTGATGAATCAATTTTTCTTCGTTTACGGTAAATTAGGCTGGTGCAGGTTCGACCTGCGAGGAAATTTATTGGACACCCATACGAATCCCGAGGATTCAAACAAATGGCCAATTTTATGTGAGTGAAATATTAAAGTACATCGTCAATTTCGAAAAAACTAGGAACAGCTTTTCAATGTATTTTTAAAGGGGTGGAACATTCGAATTTGGACGAATACAGAATAGTATTCTGGTCTGGAAACATTGAAGATACAAGTATGCTCTTGCATACTTATAGGAGAAAAGGATCTATAGATCCTTTGCGTTTCCACAGGTAAAACTTTGAATTAATCTTCAGATTATGATCATCGAATAATTCTATAAATTATAGTGTCCTGGTAATGACCAACAATAAGAAAGTTTTATACACCTGTACAAGTAAGGATGATTATCGAGTAACGAAATACACGATCGACGATACTTCTTTCGAATGGGAAAAAGTATTCGATATGCCTAGAGCTTTCAACGACCACGTTGAATACCTGTTGCAATTGAAACTGGACAGGGAAGAGGAGATGCTTCTGGCTACCAGTGCCAATGGTTTCGTCGTTTGGTTTCTAGAAAGCAAAAGTGATGCATACGTTCTAATGCTGCCAAATGGAGTGAGGAACATTAGCACAAAGATGATGTATTCGAATTCGATAATGATCAGTGGGACTAAGAATTATGCTGTTGCTGGTGTAAGGTACGTGGTTTATTTTAATTAACAAAATTACCTCGATAAAATTTATAAATTAAAATAAGAAACAGTCATTTCGACTGGTTTGGTAGTTCTATTGTTAAAGGAAAGCTGAACGAACCTTTGTCTATCCTCTTCGTAGAAAGAATTTATACGTCTGGAGTCTTGAAACAACAGAATTAGTTAAGACATTAGACGCTCATTTCGCGAGGATCATTCAGCTGGAATCGTTGACTGTCGGGAATTGGAACAGCGTGGTAACATCCAGCATCGACAGAAGTGTTAAAGTATGGAATATAAATAACATCTTCGAGCAGGTTCATGTGATAGACAGACACGAGTTACAAATAGACATGATAAGGTATCGAATATTCTTCTTAATTGGTAATAAGATATCAATGTATTTGGTACGATCTTCTATTTGTATTAATAGCCTGGCAGAAGATTGTAATTTAGCAGCGACGGTCACCAGAGATTGTGTAGGTATTTGGAACTTGCAGACAGGAAAATTGATCTCAAAATTAGCGGACAGTCCTTTAGGAGCGATCGTAACGCATGCCTGCATAACGCAGGATGGCAGGTGAATCATCTTGTTAATAATTTGAAATTTGTAAGTCAGACAAGTGTTTGATTTATTTCTACTTCTAGATATATTGTTTCAACGGAATCGGGGAATGTATTAATATGGAATAGGATTACAGAACAAGTATTGTTCAAGGAAGAGCAACAAGACGTGAAACAATTAACGCTAATTGAAAACTCGTCCAAGTTCATAACCGTTTCAAGGCCCAAGAATCCTGTTGGAGTAGAGAACATGAAAACGACTGCTACTCTTTTTATGAGAACCATTCCTGGTACAGATCATCGGTAAAATGTTTCCGAATTATTTTATTACCGTTAATGATATATATTAACGTTAATTAACAGATGGTACAATGACATTCTCATTGGAGTATCCAGTCAGAAGTCAAACAGGTACCCCGTTTCGTAATATTGTAATTACTTCGGACAATTTGTATTTGATTGTACCAGCAGCTGATAAGGGCAACAGAGATTGCGTTATTATGTACAATGCAAAAACAGGTGTATTAATAAGTAAAATCCCCGTGAAATTACCAGGATTTAAAGTAAAGACATCGTTCAAATATTGCATGATTTTTCCTTCGAATATTTCTTTATATTTCACACGTTTTAACAGGATATTTTATGCATCACTCCTATGCCGAATAAACCACACTGGGTGGGAGTTATCGGATCCGACAAAGGTATTATTTTGGATATAAATAAAAAGAAGATTATCCGTACGATACCGAAATGGAGTGGAAACATCAGCAAAGATGGGAGATACACCTTATATGCTCCCAGCAGGTAGATTTCGTAAAATAATTTTTTATATAAAATACTAACATCTTTATCTATGTTACAGAGGAGGCTTAGAACTTTTGGAGCTAAAGAAAGGTAGCACGGTAAAGACCTATATTCCAAAAGTGGCAGAAGGTGTCTTTACTGTAATATCAATGTTCAATCGTACAGATGAATATGTTCTCTATTATCATAGTGGAAGAAAAACTATACGTGTGTTTAGGTAAATGCACCAAATATTAAATTTGCAAAATGTGTAAATTCTTTGTTGTCTCTTGATTGTAGATCATCAGACTGTGAGATGATAGCAAACTATAGGGTTCAAGCAGAGCTGAGTGCAATAGATAGCACTTACGATGGTAATAGTATAGTTTTAGGAACAGTGGATGGTTGTGTGTCTGTTTTAGCCATAGCAGATCCCAATAAAGAAGAGATGAAAGAATACATTGAAAATTTACCATCACGTGACGAAGATGTAAGTAAACAATTGATAACGATAGTATGTTAGTAAACAAACTAGATATTATAGAAACTATAAATACGAAAGAATATTATGTATTCCTTATGGAATTTAACTGATACTGTGTTTGAGATCAGTTGTTATAAACAAAATCAGAACTTTGATTTAATTTATGCATAACATAATCGGTTCAAACGCAATTCCGTCACTGATTTGTCAATCATCAAAATAGGTTAGGATAAACACTTGCCGCGTTGTCGAATCAGAATACTTAAAACTTACTATCAAGCTTTATAAATCAATTAAGCTTGGCGGGTGAATTTGACAGAACCCGGACCGCTTCAAAACACCCTTTTTACAATGAGTTTTGACAAAATATCAGTCGCAAGAATGTCCCGCTCAAAAATGAAATTGAACGCAATTATTGCGTATAGGCCGGTACATCGTAAAACAAATGGTAAAAAATGTATATTTTTTGGTAAGATCGATGAAAATTACCTTAGTTCATTTGGTTAGGAAAAATAGAAAATTATACACACACCACGAGTAAAGACCAACAAACCAAAACGTTCACTCAAAACACTCGACCACGATATGCATTCTTTCTTACTCTATCCCTTGGTTTAGCGAAGCGAGAGCATCGAATTTAGTAAGTTTCATACCAACTGCAGCAGAAAAAAGTACTATTGCAGTCCATTTTATTTTACTAGGTGCATCTTAATTCTATTGGTAGATTAAAACGTTGGTCTTATTCCTTTTTACGTTTCTCTACCATTAATTCCATCGCATACTTTCAAACTCTTCCTCATTCATTTTCAAATTATTTATTTTAATAACAAAGTGGATAATTAGGGAATTACTTCCACAGTTGTTGAAATCAGTATGAAATAAATACTTTTTTTGTTTGTTTAGATTATCTGACGTATATCGCAACTTTTGAACTCTTTTTTAATTCCATATCTGTCATTGGAAAAAAATTAACATGATTTATTGCTTTTCCAGTGGAAAAGGAAAATCGAAAAACAACGAGTATCTATTAAATTCAAAGCCGCTGCTCGAATCGCTCGTGTAACGCACGAATTAAGTGCGATCATAAGAAATTCAAATGTTGGGGAAACGATTGAGGAAGTAGATGAAAATATAGAATAAATATTGCATTATTTTGTGAAAAATCATTTTATCACTAGAAGTACAATGTTACGTACTTCTTAATGTAGGAATAATAAATGTAGTCATTTTAGAATTTATATTACATTTATTTGTGTCTTTTAGTGTAATTAATTTTTATAATCTTTCTTTTCTTTCTGTCTTCCATTTTTTTTTCTCCGCGTTCAAAAAGTAAAGGGCACGAGACGAATTCCGTGTTTCATCATCGCAAGACGGATACCCTTGCACAAATCAAATTGTTGTTTCTTTAAATAACAATTCTGTAACTTGGTCTGTGCAAGGGAATGTGTCCTTTGTCATCTTGCAACGATGCGTAATTACTGAAAACGTCTCGTACCGACGCAGGCGTGATCAAGTATTCAACGTTTATGGTTTTTCTTTTTTTTTTCTCTTCGTTTGTTTACAAATTTTATGCGATCGAAATTACTATAATAAGCGATTTAAAAGAAATGGTATTACAGTTTACGAATGAATGTAAGATTTCAGTCAGCATCGAAATCGGATGATTCGCGTATGAAAATTTTCGTTGATCGTTTGTTGTTTCTCGTTTACGGTACTAGTTAAAAATGTTGAACCGTTTCATACGGACTTAAATCATACCACGATGAACCGATTTTTATTTTAAAAACCTGATACTTGTATGGTGATAGAATCATGCTACCATCTTGTATATCAGAGATCTGTAAACAACTATTAAACGTATTTTGTAACAATGTTAAACTAAACTAAAACACACCTGCATCAGAGCACATGTATGAACAATAGTTCCAGCAGAACATAAGGTTGTATGGCAGCTTAGATAAAATAAACAGCGTTCTTCTTCGAAGACTATGCTCTGAGTTAAAAATCGAGTACGGTGTGTTTTGTTTCTTTACAAAATGCTGCTCATACATTACAATCAATGTATTTGGTACTCGTTTTGAATTTCGATATTCCATTAGCATTTACCTTCCTCGAAATGCTCTTTCATCGAAACAAATTGAATTTAATCTACGACGCTGATTTTCAAGGTAGGCTTATCTAGTAGTTCTGCAATGGTTTCATTCTTTTTTTTTTTAAATTTTTGTATCCTGTTATCATCGTTTCCTACGTTTCTTCAAAGACTGGAACTTCTGTGAAAGCATGGTAGCTTTATTTCTGGTATAGTGCCTTTTTGAACTTTTATTGCATCGCACCTCCTTTTTGCTTCTGTTGTTGTTGCTGTTCTCGCTGTTGTTGCGCTTGCGCGGACGCTTCGGTATCTTTAATATGTTTCTCAACCTAGAAAAATGTACATATTACAGTGCACTGTTGTACTGTGATTACATCAACATACTCTTACCACTTTCTTTACATGTTTGTACGCTCCAGACTCTGCATTTCCATGGACATTGTCCACTTTGTACGGCGGTCTAATCGTGACATTGTCAAATACAACGATATTCGCTCCATTCCACGTAATTTCAGGAATGGTCTTTGATATAGTACTGAAGAGTTTTTGTCCTTCTGGAGATACTCCGGCCTGCAGAGCCATTACCAGTTTCTTTTTCTCTTCAATTTGATTACGTACTCTTCTGTTCAGCTTTTGCAAATTAAGGCTTTGTGGTGGTTCACTAGTTGTAGGACTAACTTCCCGCTTAACTTGGACCTCGGATACCAAGGATAAATTTACTATGTGTACATCGTTTAATGTTGGTGCACCACTGGATGACGGACATTCTAATTGTAATTAGTTAAGGAATCATCATTATCAGTAGATAGAGAATCAACATGTACTTTCATTCAATAAACGTTCCTGTCATAGGTAATAGTTTGAAAAGGCTATAAGCATCTCAGGTTATAAGCATGGCGCTTTAAGACTTTTTATCGGATTAGAAACCTGTATGTTCGCGATTTTTACGATAACCAATGGTGAAAGCGTTCTCGTACATCGTGGAAATCCGTTCGAGAACAAATCGGTTGAACAATAAAAGTAACAGAAAATCCAGCATGGTTGATTAAATGACGAAACTAACCTGACTTCGTGCAGTTGGTTAGATGATCACCAAATAATTGACAAGCGTTATTACACGTTTCTCGTAGAAAATAGCGAAATGCAACTTCATGTTCGTATATTAAAATCCACGAAAGCTATCGCGGACATCTCGAAAGTTATTTACACTGCGGCAATGTTAAACGAGTTACGGATGAGCTGAATGCATGTATCCGTCGGGAAGGGCGATACTTTGAGGGAATTTACAAGAAAAGGATACTTAGGATTAGCATTTTAGTTTGTGGATCGAATGCTAACACCTCGCCTTCGATTTCCTCCTTGTAACAGGTTTTACAGGCCACCGTACTCCCAATGCTGAAACAATCGTTGGCGCCGGCCATTTTTCACTACGAACACCGAACCGCGGACTCCCTATCGCCATCTGTTCTGATTTCAAATGTCCCTCAAAATTTGTGCAATTTGCGCCCTCCTTGGTGGATAGCTTAGAACTTGAATCCTTTTGAATTTAAATCATTCCTGTTCGAAGATACGCGGTGAAGAACATTAAATTATTAAAAGATACAGGTTGATTGTACTAGTCAGAAATGAAAATGATAGTTAAAATCAAAAGCATGCTGTTATATTGTAAAGGTTAGACGAACTTGTTCTTTGATAAAAAGATTTTCTTTTAAGTCCAATTTTGGGTAAAGTGTATTAAAAAAATTAATGGAATATAAGATCCAAGCAAAGTTTGGTATTATTTCAATCGTCTATCTTTTTATTAACACTTTCGCTGTGTTACCCATTATATCGATAAATTAATATGTTAAAGAGCTTTAAACAGTTTTCCAAGAAACAATAAAGCTTACGCTAAAAAGCTTTTAACAAATTTAGCTCTGACGTTATCGTATTGTATACGGCATATAGCACATATGATGAGAGGGTCAATAAACTAGAAGCACATGGCATACATTATCTTTGTATAAAAATAAATCAAAATTTTATTGTCAAAAAGTTTAGAATCAAAATCATTTCTATTTTGGAACAATCAATGAAATGGTTGCAAATGAAAATTTTTTGCTCCAGAGCAATAATATTCGTTATTTATATTAATTTTATTTATTTCATATTGCAGGAGGCATAGTTCAAGCGCTGAGAAGAGCGTTGGCCGTTTTCGTTCGGCACTCGGAAACCTTCGGTAGCTTTCGGGAAAAGTCGGAGGAAGTCGGCTTGGCGGGTAGTTCCACGATCGCGTGGCTTCCGATCGGCTTCCAGTGTATAAACCTCGCTCCGCCGTGCAACATCGTGACGTGGGTGATATTAAACTTTCAAACTTTCTATCTTTTCAATTAACTAATTAAGTGACATTATTTGTGAATGATTCTACCTTCCATCATCAACTCGACAACGATGTGTGCAATGGTTAAAAGCCGTCCCCACCATTTTGTGACTTCTTTAAAATTCTTCTCAAAGTAAGTGACAAGCCAATATACATTTACATAGTATTTTAATATTACACTCTTTAATAATGCATAAATGCCAGTACATAGCTTAATTATTAACATAATTATCACAGAATAAAGTATTAATAACCGATTCAAACTGTAAGTTGTATATTCTATATAAGACATATTTTGACTACTATAAAGCGTTTATAGAATTAAAGATGGCCGCTCTTGGGGGACCAAAGCTGGTTGTTTCGTAGGCTTATATTAAATTTCATTTAACTTTTCGGACAAAAAGAGGATTAGGATCAAAGGCTGACGGAAAAGTTATTCTCTTCTTATGGAAGACAGGATGACCTTTCCTGAAGCTTAGCTTAAGATATACTGTAATGTTCGTTGGACGACTTTTATTGCTAGAAAGCTTTCCGACAAAACCCATTAATGTCACAATGTTTTGCGAAGGTTAATACCGCGATAGGAAACAGTAAGGTTAGTTTCTAAATCATGCTAATTCGTTAGAATGTAACGTCGTTTCCACGCATAACTGAAGTGTTATGAAACATGTTATTCATCTGAAGTTCCTCGAAGCTCGAGTTGATCGCGTAGAGCGTCCTTTTTCATGAAGTTCGTAGCGATGCTCGAAGCGGAAGTTAAACAAGAACTTCCCAAAACAGAAAGCCGGTTAGATTTGTTTCGAATGCACATCATCTGCTATCACGAGATTCAGGAATTTCCTTATCGGTTCACGACGCGAGTATAATTCTAGCAGTCCAGTATCTCGTCTCTAATAACTAAACTTTTTATATTTTTTATTAGTTACACGTGTGATGCATTCGCAATGCAAATAAAGATTATAATTTTATCGAACTTTGTAGAATTTTACAATGAATGTCTTCAGTGGCAAAAACGTTTCATTTGCATTCTGATTGTTGTTTCTACTAAAAAAGATAGACACGGTTCGCGAGATTGAACAGGCTTGATTGAAATTGTTTCGGAGCTTTGACTTTCCTGCAAAATCCGCGGCTCTGTCGTTCCTTTTATGTATCCACGCGGAACGGTGTTGCGAAAAATTGTTTTAACGATAAACTTGGATTCGCTGCTGCCAATTTTGAATGTTGATTAAAATCCCGCTTTGATCCCCTTCGAAAGCTCTATTGATAATTAACAGGAAATCGAATTTCTATAACAGGTTTGATGTTTCGTAATCTGCACAAGAGGAAAGGTAAATTTTTGTAGAATAAAATTTGTAGATCTGTATATATTTTTAGTCGTTAACACTAGAATTACAAACGTTTAACGTTGGTACACAAATTGTAATTTTTTAAACCGATGAAAATACATATTTTAGTGAATTCATTTTTATAGCTTCTCAAAAAATCTCAAGTTATTTAGTCCAATTTTAACCGAGGTATTCTATTTTGAACAGTGTCTACTCACTTTTGCCTCTCACTGTACATTCATTCTTTAGCTCGACAAAATTTCTAATTTAAAATAAGAAAGTGGAAAACAGTTATTTCGACCCCTTTGGTAGTTCTAGTGTTAATCTGTACGAAACAATTGCTATTCGTATCGCGTATTCGATAACACGCGACGCCCGCATCTTACCCCATCAATTTTCAAGTCCGATTAGATCCTGATTGCTGAGAATTCACAGATCCGTGTAGTCGTAAAGCCGGGCGGGAAATATCAGGGATCGTTCGAGCAGCCGATAAATGGGAAAATAATGTGTATCACTGAAAGACGAGGTGCAACTCCTCCAGAAAGATAAATCATTCGCTTTCGTCGCGCTTTTTCTTACCGATCGCAATTGACTTATTGTTAGTCTATTTCTCTCACTTTGATCGATATTCAATCCTTTATGAAAATGAAAAATTACCGCAAGTATATTTCAAAAGAATTGTATACTTTCCTTTTGTTTCTTCCTAGCTTTATTTCGAAGTTAATTAAAGGCAGCTATAACTTTGATAAATAGCGAGGATTATCTGTGAACCGCGTAAAGCAGGTAACGCGTTAATTTCAATCCGACAAATAATATTTCATCCATTACAAGTTTCGTTCTTTCTCGTGCGATTTTAACGTAAAATCTTCTGGCTTTTACAAACCACCAGAACTTACTTCCATTAATCCACCTGCTCGAAAGTTTTACCGGATCTGGGTTGGTATTGTTTTAGTAGGAACGTTTATCTTTTTAGAGTCGGTAACAATTGGAGGATTACACAGACAGGAAAAATGAATAATATTTTTCAATTTATAGTAGCAAATAATAGAAGCATCTTTAAATATCCATTTGAAAAAGCATTTATTAAATTGTAAGCGAAAAGAGTATTATTAAGCTCGTAAGAGTATTATTAATTTAAAGCGAAGGAAGAATAATTTCATCCTTCAAAGCATGTACAATGGAACCTCGATTATCTGAACTAATTCTGTTTAGAATGTTCGCATAATCGAGATTCTACTGTATTATAAATCTTTACTCTTGTGTCAAGAATATAATGCAATATGTACGGAATTATAAATTACTATGAGAATTAAAGGGTTGAAATACTTTGATTTTTCGTACAAACGATACTTGGCGAATTAGTCTCGTGAAAAATGCACGAATGTTTTCGTAAGTTGCTCGTTCATTTGAACATTTCTGTTGGTGGCCGATATTGGTAAACACGAATAGTGTAGGAGCAATCGCACGTGTCCCATGCTCATAAATAGAACCGTTTATATGTGTGTATAGAAGCGTAATACATGATCCGGAGAGCATAAATCAGTGGTACGTTTGTATTGCACTATTGTGCGACCATCTTTTAGCTAAACACTAAAACTAGGCCAACACTGAGAGCATTTCCTCTCTCGCTGTTTCATTCGATGCAAAAATTTTCTTTCCCTAAAGCTCTTTTCACTCGCAACTTCAATGCAACGTATCATTTTTTTCTTTCCAAACGAAGTACACGAACTCTGCCATTTTTTTGCCCTCGTATATTTCACCTTCGACATTTTGCAAATATTTTACTTGAAGATTCGACGGTTGACCGCTTTTGATGATCTGAATAGGGTGCACTGTTGTTTGTCTTTGCACGATTGTTCGAGTGTACATTCCCGACCGGAAATTGCGGAAAATTCGTAATAGACTTTGCATTAGAGAGAATAGATGTGTTCTAAAACGGAAAATTATTCAGGACAGGAAAATGCATTAATTTGACGAAGCATCGCTGAGAATTCGCGTATGTTCGAAATAGTGCAGGACCAAAGTCAGTCATGCCCTATAAATACTGATTTATTGCCAACACGTGGCAGTTGTTTAGCTGCATAAATTATGCTCTGTTATCAAAGCTCAATTTATGCCTGCTGGACCAGCCATTAAACTAAGTTCCAGTAAATGAAGTTTATCCAGAAATTACTCGTACACTTAATTTCCAAATTTCCTCGACGCGCCTGTGAACTTACGTTCTAACTCGTTGTTTCGACCCTTGTTCCGGTCAATTAACACGCGATGTTGTTAATTACGATGGTAATGGCGTAAATTCTTTTCGAAATTGATACTTTCACTACCACTGATAAATTCATCGAAAATCTTGGACTATTATCTTCATAATATTCTGTTCTTTTTGTAAATACATATATTCAGAAAATCGATGGGAAACTCTTGCGGAAGTTCGTGTATCATCCGGAGACATGTTGCCAACTAAATTTCTGACCTTACCACGTATTTTCCTGGAAAAGCAGTCTCGGAGAGAAAGAAACGTTACCATAAACACGAGAAAATTTTATTGATTTAGAGAAAGTAGGTACTTGCTTTGATTAAATCGTAATTAGATGATTCTGCGAGGGAAAAGATTTAGTTTTCTAATCTGGCGTTCGTGGTTAATTTACCCCCGCATGTTCTAAATCACTTCAGCTTTTTTATCTCATTACGCGAAAGAACCCGTTGTATAATTTTCCCGTTTTGTTTTATCGCGAGGTCGCGAAACGTGGCAAGAAAAACGGGAAACGGAGGTTCAATATGGCGCATTACGCAACGCGATTTCCTTATCAGCGACACGAATAAATGTTGCCTGAGTAATTTTTGTAATAATTCTACAACCGGAACGAGATAGCACTGCTAAACTAATTGTTAGTTTAAAGTTGGAAATCACAGAACGCTGTCCATCCGATCGGTAATTCGTCATCGAACGTCTGTCAATGTGGTAAAATAATGATTCGAAAAAAGCTGCTCATTATGCTGGTCCATTCTTGTCATCGAAAATTGATTTCTCGGCCAAAATTTTGGTCTTTGTTGGCAAGAAGCCCGCATCTTTTGCTATCGCGATCGACGGTGGCGTATTTTAGGGGCAAACAAAAAGTGGACTTGTTTTTCCATCGAAAATCTAAGGAAAACAATCTCCAATAAAATTTTAATTATTTTTAAAGTTTCTATTGGACACCTATGTACACTAGTGGAATTAATTCTGGACACTTAATTTCGCATTTATTCAAATTATTTAATATATTTTATATTCTAATCATTGTTTTCTAATTTTAGAATATTTTTATTCAAATTGTTCCCTAATTCCACCAGTGCATGTAAGTGATAATTAACCAGTTGTTTCTCCACCAAACTCACGAGAAAATAGCTTTCATAATTTATTTATATTCTAACGGAGCAACGTTAGTCTGTCGGTCCGTACGTAAAGAACGAAAGAACAGGGAGAAAAATAAATAGACGGACAGTGATACGTTAAACGAGAGGAGAGTGAACTCAGAGTTTTTTTATAAACTAAAAGCATCGTCAATGTGACGACTAATTTTAAAATAGACTCGAACTTACTCATCGGTGTTTCTCACTATTTCACCGGTTAAATTCGAACGATCAGGAATTAATTAATTCTATTGCTCGTATAATTCTCGTTCTAATTTCACCAGTTTGCAGTTTGGTGGTTTAGGGAAATCTCGTCGATTGAAACTAATGTTAACGATCGCGAAAGTGCAGATTCCAAGTGGGATTTCGTCCTGATTAGCGCGTGGGAATCGACAAGGTTGCGTAAAAGGGATTTTCGTTAATTCCGTCTTAATTGCTTTCCACAGTTTCTCTGATCAACTTTAATCCTTAATTATCGGGATTCTTGCTTACCTTTTCTGCATTGACCATTTCGAACTTGTATCTCGTCGAGCGATTGCCATTGATAAAAATAATTCTATTTCTATAAAAATTATAAAAATTATAAAGTTAACTTAAAAACACGAGCGGTTCGATACTGAAAATTTATTTCCCCATTATTTCAAGCATCCGCGCAAACGTGCTGTCGGTAGAAAATCTGGAAAAACGAGAGAAATAACAGAAGTTCTCCGTTGTTTCCAATGTTTCACGCTTTCTAGTCGAAACGCTGACTCGAGCTTGGCTAACGAGATTCGTTGTATTTTGCAAATTGCAGAATGTTTCTTACCAGCGTTTCGTAACACAGCAACTTTCATTCAACCTCGAAGATATTCCTCTTTTGTCTATCATCTTCGAAATTCTACCTTTTTGATATTTGAAGCGTGGCTGAAAGGACTTAATTTATTACCGGTGGAAGCTTGAAGTCTGTTTCCAAAGAGGCTGATTTACTGTTCGCGATTCTAATTGCGGAAATTATGGCCGAGGAGTTACGATTCAAACTTCTAGAGATTCGATGGTCAAATATACTTTCAAAGTATTTTTACAAATCCCTTAGCTAATTTATCAAAGGGGATAACAAGAATCCTCGATCCGATAGACTGAATGAAACCGCGTTTAACTAGGAATCGTTTGAAACTCGATCAGAAATTCGATTTCACAAATGGTGACTAAGAAAATCGCTTGCACGCTCGATCAGTTCGTTGCAATTCCATGAAATGCGATTAAGGGTATCCCGTTGTTGAATGCAAAATCTATTGTAAATTTGATAAGATCCGAATGAAAGTTCGCGCCAGCTGATGATAATTTAAAATTTAATCAGTTTACGGCAATTGCCCAATCATTGGATATGTTTACAAGTTTTTCTTTTTCAAACAAAATTCCAACTTAATTATTCACCGTTTGAGGGTTAATTCAAGATAGTTTATAAAACTGCTCTTACGTTAACAGGAATTTCACGATAGATCGTAAAATTTTTCTTTAACGCACAGCCAGAGATCGAACACAGATTTGGTTGTAAAAATATTTATATCACATTTCTGATACACTAGTTTTAAACGAAAGTAGCCAAATTTTTCTGCGTTAGTAAAAGGTACTTACTCGCGTCTTAGCTTCTTCTGTTGTGGAACGTCTGTTAGAAGCTTTTAGCTTTCAAAGTGAAAGAGGTAGATAAGATAACGAGCGTTTAATTTGCGACTGCATCAAAGAAGAATTTTCCTAGTTTACGAATCTCTGAACAGAAGAACGTTTTCGCTTTATCCCGTTTCGTTCATTTTTATCTTTCGTTACATTTTATTCAATTTCCACTTTTATGTATTTTGCCTCTGGCTTCACACAAAAGTGTAAAAGGATAAACTGCGACACAAGACAGGTTGTAATTACAGAGTTGCGAAGGAGTTGAGTAGTTCTACCAATACTTAAACTGGATTTACGTGAAGTAATTATGTTAGAATTAGTAGGTAGCTAGACTCGGATCGTTTACCAAATGAGATTTCCTTCTAGTAAGTCACGCTTGAGCTCCGGTTGAAATTTTGAGGAAACTGTACCTTCTAACATCTCGTTAGCTTATTTTCAAGTTGAATAGCATTTAACACTTTGCAAACTTCAGTTATTAAGTTGTGAATTAACTCGCGGACGGCGGACCACGGAGAGTGCCCCAAGACGGCGGACCATGGAGAGAGTCCCAATTTTATTTTCCAAATTTTACACTATTGTTTTAATATATCAAACTGTTTCATTTAAAAATGATACATTTACCTTTAAATTTGCGTCCATATTACTTATAATAATTTGATCTTCTAATTAAAGTATCTAAAAAGTAATTTACTTATCAAAGAACGCAAGGTGTTAAAATTGCTTCAAAACCGACTGTTCTCATTTTTTCCCTACTTTTTGAAGTATTCGTGCTAGAAATTCGCTCTGGTAGCCGTATTTTTATCAACTCTCAGAGTCCGACACTTCATCGGCTCGCTCGCAGAGTCGGCGAACGGAATTGATACGATCTCTCGAGTTTGTCGAGCATTTGCTTCCAGTCACGTGGTCATGGAGGGTCAATAGAGCTTTATTTCGGGATGAGGGAATCCTCTATTAATGAATCATGACTACAATATATCACACCTACATTGCGATCTTAACCGGTTCGCCTCAATCGTGTGTTTGTCACGTTTCTCCCAACTACGAGAGATTCTCGATCATTTGATCAATAATCGTCGATGTTCAGAGATTTTGATATTCGATGAATATTAACACTATATAGAAATCCTGAAGTGAAAAGAAATACGCGTGATACGTAAGAATTTTCTGAAAATTTTCACTCCAATCGCCTTCTATAAGAATATGAAAATGTAACTTGGAAAAGGTTTAGAAAATTGTACGCTGTTCCGGAGATTTTCTCCAAAAATCCTGTTTCGTACATTCTATTCGAAAATCGAATTACCCGAAGGAAGATGAAACGAATCTCGATTGGTAATCAGATTTAATGAAGCACACAAACGGGGTCACGGTCGTGTAACGCGATGCGCTTGCGTCTTGATTTTAGCAGATTCGCCTTAGTAAAAGCTCGACGTGTTTCAATAACGTGGAAAAACCTTGAAAAATGGTAGGTACTCGCGAGCATCGTGGCTTAGCCTTTTTATACGGACCCGAGGCCTTCGATGTCGGAAGAAAAGAAAACGCTGAGCGCCGTGAAAAGCTTCGTTCCTTTCTTCTCTTAAAGTCTGTATTTAGCCGGTTCAAATCGGATACCTCTCTTTAATCTTTCCCGGTTACTTATTTCACCTCGAAAAATTCCCGAGAAACTCCAACGTTTTCCCCTTTCTTTCCTACTCATCGAATCTTAACCCTTCGCTTTCGAGCAAACGTTTTCTTTCAAATTAATTGAAATATTGCGTTCGAAGTTTCTGAAAACTCATAAATTACAGTTGTTCAAGGATGGAAATACATTTTCCTCCTAGTAATTATTTATCGAACCGGTTTAAATTCTGTCAGTAGACATTATCGAACGACTTTGATCGGCTTTCGATAAATACTCCTCGGGCGGACCAGGGAGACGCGCCGTAAAGAACCTTCCCTCGAAATAGAAATTCGGTTCGTTCATGGAGATCTTCGCGTTACATATCAATTGGACGTCGCTTTCAAAGTGAAACCTTTCACGTTTAGAGAGATCGGGTCGAAAGAAATTTTCGTGTACCGATGCTGACTGAGTAATTTGAAAAATGTATACTGTTCTCGGCATCGGAGCGATTATCATTTTTAATATCGATCATTTCTCTGTGTAGATTCGGAATATCTTGCCACGGTGTCTGAAGAGAGAAGCATGCGAAGAAGAAGATCGTCGATCGAGGAACAGACCAGAGCTGGACTCGAGACATTTTCAAGGGTTTGAAAGTTTGCAAATCGCGGCCGCAGTTAAGCGAAACGAGCAATGGAAAAGATGGTCGCGAATAACCGACAAGTGGTTGCAACTGAAGTGTCGTCTTTAAGAAGCTAATTGCAGTCATGTCGAACGAGACTAACACGACCGACGATTATCTCGACTACGACTACGACATCAACGAGTCGTTCAGTCAATTCGACTGGTCGGAATTGGCACCCATACTCGTCATCTACTCCCTTACCTTTTTCCTTGGATTAATTGGTGAGCGAACGACTCGGGTCTCTTCTTTCTGAAAATCTATTCATTTTTGTTTAATATTGTTCGTTTAAAAATGTTTATATTAATCTCTGAATATTGTGGTTCTATTTATTTTTTGGAATCTTAATGGGAACTCGAGCGGATGATTGAACAGAATTTCAATATACGTTGGTTTACAAATTATTCATCCGCGAATGAATATTTTTATCGGGAATGAAAATTGCTCAAACGCTTGTATGGTTAATGCGATAGATTTTCTCTTATCGTCGTTGCTGTCCGCATATCGGGTTGTGTGGACAAATTATTTCAACAGGCGGCGGATGATTAATTTTATCATCCACTTCTTCCGTTATGTCATTGTTATTCGTGTCAAGTAACAATCGTATCATCGAATAAAACTCAACTTTATTTTTCGAGAGATTTTTCAAGAAATTTTCTTAAATAATCGCTTACAAAATTACCAAAATCAAGAATAATTAATGCCGCGTAATTAGATGGTATACCTGGTCTCCTTGATATTATATTATTCATCATCTTTATGAAAGGTGCGCAGCAGGGGGCGTCTTAATTATCAAGTTTTGATGAAGTATCCTACGGTTCGATGTCTAATTTTTGTTTCAGGAAATGTCGTCATCATCGCTTCTACTCTGTGCCCGAGATTGAGACCCTTACCAGCTACACCGACCAACGTCTTCCTGGGTGGTTTGGCAACGGCCGACCTTTTGCTTATAATTTTCTGCATTCCTGTAAAGGTAAGTTTTATACAAAATTCAGTATCCTAATTTTTGAAAAAGAAAGGGATTTCAAAATCTAGGTCACAACTGAACATCCACAATTCCTAGTATCTTTTATTATTTTTAAATTATAAGTTTCCCTTAGAAACTCTGGTGAATTTGAAACATTCTACTGCGAATCATTATTTACTAAAATAGCATTGAGTAAATAATTGTCCATAATTGCAACAGGAATTCCATTCAATTTATTTGCTTTGCATTCATTCAATTATTATTAAAATCATCGATACGTGTAATAATATGCAGTGTATAATGATCTGTAATACAGATTTTGTAGAATCATATTCGTTCTTGAATGATTTATCTATTTATGAAAATTGGATGGAATAATAATTCATGTACTAGTATCCATATATAGTGATACAATTTATATTCCATAAAAATTCAATGAAATTTTAAGAAGCAACACGTGTAAGTTGAATTGTCGTTGAATATACAAATGGAATTCGAGACACGTTGTCTCTGAACGATATCGCACGCGAAGTCAGTGTCAAGAAGGCGTCGCGACGCCCTGGCCTGAATGAATATAAAATCGAATTGTGCCAAGTTCTAAAATTACGTATCCGAGAATCGGTCCTACTCTCGAATATACATGTACTTGCCACGTTCGTTTCTATTTTACAGCCATTGTAGGCCAATTACATTTCATTTCTTACGACTTTGTTATTTTCTTTCCTGTAGGCTAAATTGAACTTGGCACGATCCGACGCACGTTTCGAGCTTTCTGCTTTCATCTCGACGAGTTACAGCCTCCTGTGCGTTTTATTAGACTCGTTATTTATTTCTCTTTGTTTCGATGCGACCGTTCTATGATGTGTTTGAAAACTTTGGTAATTAATCTTTAAACAATAATATCGCCACAGTAATATTCTCGAACGACGACAGCTGGAATTAAATCCTCAAATTCTCAAAAGAAAGATTTTTATAAATTTCAAATTTAATTAAAACTTTTGAAATCATACGTGGGGTCGATAGAAACCTTGTCATCCGAAGATTTTTATGATTCTTTCTTCTTTCACTCCCATTCGGTGAACCGAATTGCAAACATCCAAACTGAATTTACAAATGATGAAGAAAATAATAATTAAGAAGTTAATTAATGCTACCCTTTTGCAGTTAGAAGTTACCAAACTTTCTATATTACTTAGTTCCTCTTATTTACATTTTACTCTATCTATGGTAAAGAAACTTGTACCTTTTGCGAAGAATCGATGTCGTTTTTCGGGGAAAGTTCTTTTCAAAGACGTCCCTGGTAAGTTCTCTATCGCGTTTTCCCTCGCGAGATAAGGGAATCCCTCGAGGAAGCTGATCCTTATTTAGAGGGAAGTGGATTAGCTGAGGGTCGAAGGGTTGCTATGAAAAGCAGGAGTCTTTTCACGAGACGTTATTACTTTATAAGCGGCAACAGTTTAATCTGGCAGTGACGAGGTGTTGATTTACTGACGTTTCGTTGACACCGAGCTTGTCTTTGTGGTCGTTCCTCACGGTACGTTCCAAGGGGACATGATTCAATTTATTATCGGGTCAATTCGAGCCTTTCAGGCCTAATGATACCATCTGAGAATACGGATGACGTATCAATGTTACAAATTTTTTTTCTCTTTTCTTTCTATCTATAAGACGAGAGCGATGAGAAAAATGTTGTTCACCGAAATGACGCGTGTCTTCATAGAGGACGAACTTAACAATTTAAATGATAGTCATTGAAAGTGATCGAGTATTGTTTAAATCAGTGAACGCGCAGCATCCAAAGTTCAGATGGTAAAAAAGAGAACTCATTTATTTTTCTAGTTTGTACGTCGAAAATATTTCGCCACGCTAGACCCGTGGCGTTCTCTTTTGATTTATGGGAACGAAATGAAAGAAACACTCGCTTATTTACATGTATATTCGTTTCCAAAGATTCTCTTTGAAATTTCCAGTCGATGTAAATCCTTCCAGGCGCGCTCTTCATAATCATTATTTATTCTCCGAGTTGAAGATTTCAGCGTCTATTTGCGAAAAAAACAAGTAGGTAATATTCTAAGCAGAGCGGAGATTCTTAAAGGAGATTCTCGAGCTTCTTTCAGAGATGAATATTTGTCGTTGTATCAAAGAAGCTTTCCCCGTTACATTACTTTCCGCATTCCACGAGTATTTCCTAAGCTTATTAACGATTTTTCTTATTGTTCCGATAGCTTGTTAAGCTTATTATTAGTCTAAATTTGTGTTTTATACTTTGAGTTTATCAAATGAAAGAATATTTAACCTTTAACGAAATTAAATTAAAGTTGAGACTCTCTCCCTGGTCCGCCATCCGAGATTTCATCAGAGAAGGGAGACGGAACATTGGCAAATTTATGCTTTCTATAAAATAATCTTAATAAAGAAATATATTAGACTTCTGGTATGAAAAAATAAAATCGTTTCGAGTCGAGATAATAAGAAAATACCTGTTGGAGAGAATTTTAGCATAGTGTAAGAAAAAAATGAATATACCAGGTTGGCGCGTTATTAGTTCATCCCCCTTCGTTCGATCATTATTATCTATAGCGGTGACATTGTTGGCCGGGTACGTAACCCGACTTATATCGTGTTACTCGTAGAGGGAGGGCGGCTAGCACCCTGAGCACGAAATAAAAGCAACGACGCCGCAACAGATTTATTCGTTATACCGTAGAAATAAAATCTCTCCTCTTCTGTCTCGCACTCTTGTTTCCTTCGTGGAAAAAACATAATATCCTGCAGGTTCGCCCTGCTCGTTTCATGGGGCGAAAAAGTCGAAGGGTGCGCAAGAAACGACGTGCCCGTATTATTCAGCTCGGCATTCGACGCGAGAAAAATGGGAAATTCAAGCTGAACGCAAGCTTCTTTCGGCTATGGGGCTCTAGGTGACGGGTTTCAATAGAGCTTGATAAATATTTATACATGTAAACGAATATTCTTTTCTTGTAGTTGTTGAGCATCCTCCGAAACTTCGACGTTATTGCACATGTTGGGTTTTAAAGTATTTAGAACGTCAATGGGGCTTCAAAATTTAATGAGACTTTATTAGACTGAAAATAATTTAAAAATTTAATTCATGGATATCGCTTGAGAATCTATGATTTCCAAGTTTATCGTTGATTCCCTTATCTCAATCCGAGCAATGGGAACGTTCGTTCATTGGAATGGTAATTTTAGTCGATCCATGTAACTACCCTTAACCCCGTTTCAAGCGAGTGCTTTTCATAGAAATTACTGTCGCCGCGGTTTCTATTCAAATGATAAAATTGTCTGCCATTTCAGTTGTTTAAACAGGCTTGCATCCGCGACAATACGTTTGTTCAAAAACAATCGCGTTAATTTGTTTGAAACAATCTTCTAATTGTAAGATGTTCACCTTGCATTCTTCTCGAAAACAGAACTTTAATGGTCGAAATTAGAGGTAAATTGCTGCTTCAATTTCAATAGAGAGGAGAATCTGTAATTTTCAGTAGTAATTGTGGTAAATTCCAAAATTTATTTCAAATTCATTAAATTTTCTTCGATAAAATTGATCAGCCTTCCTCGCGTATACTCGTTTTTATCATCGATGTTTAATCAACAATTTCTCTGCTTGAACGATGACCTGAATTCATCGAAAGCAACAGGTACGAGTGCCACAGATGCAAAGCAATTTATTTCGTTATTCAATAATTCATTACGAAATTTTATAACATCTATATTTGGTCATTATCGAATAATGTTCACAGATAAATTAAACGTAGAGTTAGAAAACAATGATTAGAATATAAAATATAAATGATTATATATTAAATAATTTGAATAAATGCGAAATTTAAGTAAAAATTTAAAAGTGTCCAGAATTAATTCCACTAGTGTAGAATCTCGAGTCTTTGAACTCTATCAGAAATAGATTTCGATTACCTAGAAAATTCCTCTATCTTTAGCTGTCTAGCCAGAGAGGGGCATCGGTTTATCCGATGCTAAAATTAAATCGTCATTTGTTTGATTACGAACGATGCTATTATTGCATGTGGGAGTCGCTGAACGGATGGCTGATCATACATTGATCTTTACTACTCGCGCAACTCAGATCGTACATTCTAACGTCGCAATCGACCTTTATCGTGTTCCTTTTATAAATAATCTACTACAAAGTACAATTTACAACTAACTTTCCAATAAAAATCACGCGCAGTTTTCTCCATTACTCTTCCTGTAATTCCGAAATAGAAGTTTGATTTCCTGTTTCATAGACGTTCGTGGCGCAAACTTGGACTTGTTCGCGGGGGTATTAAAACTTCCCGTGGACTTTCGCGTGCGAGAATAGAAGGGAACTTTCCTTTCATTGAATCACCGAGTAAAATGCCGAACTATCGATTGCGTGTTTTGTAAAGTTTCCAGAAAAAAAGAAAAGAAGAAAAATTTTCAACTACCACTCCAGATTGCAGAAGTTTGCGCGACCGGTTCGATTGATTCGATGAAAATATTTCCCTGGGTTAGATTATTCGCGACGCCAGAAATTTTCGAACACGTCCATCGAGTTCACGGAATATCCGCTTTCCGGGACAGGAAGTCCTTGAATTGACGAGTTACGGGAATCGCTTTTGCCACCGACGCGACGCGACGACGGAAACTTTAGCAGTTTCCGACTGTGACAAATCTTTTGATGCTCTTTTTCGCCGATCGACTCGTTCGTACATGGTTTAAGCGTAGTACCGATTCGAGAGAGGCTCGTTGGATTAAAACACTGAATGTCGTTAGAGGGATGGTTTTTTGACGTTTTCTTGGCACGCATTCTTGGCAGCGAAGAAACATTTGGAAACCGATGGTGCTGTTCTCTCTTGTTAGGTACCCAATAAAATTTCGAGTATTTTCGAGACTCGACTATTCTGGCATTTTCAGTATCAATCGTGTAACGATTTTAAACATAACTATTGTATTCCTTTCATTTATTTATACAACTTTTTGTGGGTAGTTTGGCATTTGTCTAA